GTCTGAACTCCAGCTCAGCTTAAGAGGAAAAAGTACCAATTCTGTGAAGGGGAAATACCTTCCAATTTGCACTACTCTGTATGCTGGCAACACTTTTCTCGAAGAGGCAAAAGAAAAATTACAGTCATGGTCCGAATATTGAAATTACAGAAATTACTGTTACCAATCTCTGCTCCCAGGGAAGAGAAACTGGCTATGGGATCAATATACCTTGTTTTTCTTAATCCAATAGCTGAATAATAATCTGTGTTGAGGTGACCTCTGCCTGCTTTGAGTTCCAGGGCAGCACTCCCCATCTGGCAGTAAATGCTGTGTGCAGAGACAATAGCTGTGTTATGGCCCAGCAAGAGTGATGTGAGCACCAGCCAGACTAGCAGGAGCAGCGTGTGTTAGCAGGGGCAGGAGGCCATGGAGGTGTTAGTGGGTACAACCCTAACCCTTCCCTTTGTGTACAGGGACTGTGTATTTGGTTTCCTAGGGAATTTTATGAGAACTACTTCAGTTTGGGTTTGGCAGTTAAGAGGACAGGCACTTGAGGATGGAATAAATGTCAAGACCACTGCTCCTGGATAAGAGTAGAGGTGTCAAGCATACCCTGAGCAAGCAGAATTGGACAGAAGAGCCATTGAGGCAAGAGCTTGCACAGGAGGTTGGCAGGAGTGCTCAGGGCAGGGTGAGCTGCTCGTTCACAGCTCAGCACTGGGCAGGCTGCAGCCCCCACCTGGGATTTCCCACAGCACCACAGTGCAGGACTATGACACAGAACTGGTATTCCACATCATTACCTGGGAAAATATCCTTGCACCAAATAAGCTGTTTGCCAGCAGAGAGTGAGGTACAGGGTGCTGCCAAAGTGACTGTAGTGCCCTTACTAACACCCTCCCGCAGTGGACTGGCAAAAGAGCACTTAAATGGCAGAGCATGGGCCTGTTTGTCTTAGCATGAGGAAAGTCTCAGGCTGCCTTCACAGACAAGGCATTTTCTAGGTCAAATAGCCACTTTGGCTTCTGATCAATATTAAAACCTATTTGAAGAGCCACTTGGTCCCCATGCCATCAGACATCCCCATGCCATCAGACCCTGCCATTCCCCACGCCACCCAGCCTGAACTTGTGCTGCATCTCCACCTTTCAGCCCCAGGGAAGCCGGTGACTGCCTCGAGGGTGGCTTAAATTGACCAAGTGGAACCTGGAGAGTCCAGGAGCACAAGCACAGGCCAGCTGTGAGGGATGACGTGTGTGCTCAGTGTGTGCTCACGGGGACACAGTCCTGCAGGTGATTCACACACTGCCTGCAGGAGAGGCCCTTCCCTTGCTTGGAAACAGTGGCTGGAGGTGGGCGGTGGATGGCAGTGCTGCCAAACTCCTGTTTACCGAGGAGCTGAGGACACAGCAGCTTCCTGCAGGCAAGAATGGCAACAAGGCTGCCAGCAAGGTGCCGGAGTTACTTCCAGGAGCAGGCAGCGAGTGTCCACAGCTCCTTGAGAAGAACCTGATGCTGACGTGGGTCATGTTTCCTCCACACCCCAAAACTGCTGCCCTTCAAGCGATAGGATCAGTCTCAATGGTGTGTTTTGCCTGTACTTGAGCATGGGGGGCAGATCCCTGCAGAATCAGGTGAGTCAGGCTGTGGGACTGTCAGGTTTATCACTGGGTGCTGGAATGCTGCTTCCAGGTAAGAGATCCTATCTGGTGGGACCTGGTGTGTGCCTACACACCTAACTAGATAGCAGAGTCCTGCACCATTAGTCACCACGGAGCCAGCCTTAACCCCTTGCTGTCCCTCCCCAAGTGCTCCTCGCAGATGGAAGCACGGCCACCCAAAGGGGCCGGCGTGCAGCGTCGTGCTTGGCTAGGAGCTGTCATCTGCTTGGCCTTAGGAGTACCAAAGGGCACATCTTCAGGGCCTGATCTCAGCACAGGGCAAGGGACAGCGCTGTGCACACTGCAGAACGCCAATAAAAGTTGATAGTTAACCCTCTTTTAGCAGCGAGGCGTGACCTTGGCCCGTCAGGGAAGGCGCTGTCAGCGCGGCCAGGGCACAGCCCCGAGCACAGAACCCGGCCCAGGGCAGAGCCTGGCACTGAGGGCACGGATGTGTGCCATCCTCCGTGCCAGGGGCAGCGCTGCGTGGGGTTCCTGCACACGGAACGTGCCATTCCTGTGCCACGCAGTGCAGCTGCCTCACCAGTTCCCCACGATCCCCAGCGGTGAGAGCCCGGCTCGGCCCTCCAGCACACGCCTCCCCCTCCCCCAACAGGCAAGCTTTTAAGGTAATAAACACTCTAACAGAAGCACAAGTAAAGAAAACAACACACACTATTTTTTTATCCTCATAAATAACTAATCTTGATACTTCTCTTTGAATAAAATTTCTTCAGCTTTTCACATAATATAGTACAGTTATTTAAGCAACATTGAACAGCATGGGTAATGGAAGAGGCAAAACCCAACATGTAAATTGGCTACAGCAGACAGGGCACACGGAAACGGCTCCTTCCCCCCTCCTGCCACTTGTTGCTGAGAAGCCAGGCTCAAACACGAGTTGATTGCATTACCCTACCATTACATCAAAGCTGAAAATGCTCTCGCATTTTTCAATAGGCAACGGTTTGTAGCTAATCTTAGATTTCTTTACACAGTCAGTTGCACTTTGGAAAAAAACAAAAACAGCAAAATACCACCTTTGACATGGTTTTGTTCATTGTATTGCATGATGTGTGTTTTGCTGTATCTACAAAAGGCACTATAGAGAGAGAGAGGAGTCCAGCAAGGTGTGGACTGGAGGAAATTGGAATAATTTAATGCCCTGGATTACAGCACGAGACTACCCACAGTGTCTCTGTGCCTGACCTGCCCCACTGCTGAGAACACACCTGTCCCTAGCCTGTATCAAAGGTCACTACATAAGGCTTCTTTATGTACAAATTAGGCTATAATACAACTATTTACAGTGTGTAACACAACGTGGTGCAATTCTGTCCACAATAAAGCACTCCAACATGCTGGAGGGGGTGAGCCCTATTGCAAGAGTGCAGATGGGTGCAGCTGAACAGTCCCTGGTGAGCCCTCACACCTCTGTCTCCTCTAACCAGGACTCCCCAGAGACACTCATGCCGTACCTTTATCCAGTGATAGGCCTCTTGAGCGTTCCCTCACTTCCCAGGTTTTGGTTTTAAAATGAGGTGGAAACCTTTATGACTGAAGTGGTCCAAAGGTGTTAAGAACAACCTCAGATCCTTGCAGTCCTGCAGGAGCAAAGCCGGCAGTTGTTCTCCAGTGCTTGAACAGCTGGGTCACAGTGCCACACTTGAAGGAGGGCAAAAAGGACTCTTGCAATGGCTGGGTAATTTCATACATCACCATTGCTTAGGGCAGGCAGAAACAAAAATTAAAACCCAGGTGCTTTCACAAGTGGCTAGAGGCAGCCAGCCTCATCCTGCACCACAGCTGGAGCCCCTTGCCCTGGCTGCATTTAGTGACTTTGACAACAGGGCCCCCCCACCATTATTCTACTTACTGAAACCCAGCTGTCACCACTGCTTAACGCCAGGCAGTGCTGCTCTGTCAGTGCTCAGCTGCTGTCTGATCCAGGGAAGTGAAAACGGCTTGGGAAGTTGGAGGAAAAGAGGTATGAGTGCTCAGCTAAGTTTTCCTAAATTAACTGCTCCCTCTCAAACCTGGTACTCTCTCTAGCAGAGGCAGAGCTTTGAGAAAAGCAGCAACAAGTATTGAAGCTGACTGACTGGAAAACCCAGCTGCTGCTCCGGAGAGACAGCCTGCCACCTGGCTGGGACACCCCCATGCAGTCACTGTTCACTGCACGGGTGCAACCACCCTTTTAGGGTTGGTTGTGCCACGCTCAGCTGCTGTGCCACATGCCACAGCTGGTGGGCAGGACACAGGGCCTGCCTCCCTCGCCCCAGGTAACCCACAGGGGACAAGGGGGACCGAGGAACTCACCCCGCTGCAGAGGCGAGGGGCGCGAGCGGCACCGACCCTTCCAGGGCACAGGGCCCTCGGGAGAGCCCGGCTGTCGGGGACAGAGCCCCTTGCCAACCCCGTGCTGGGCCAGCAGCCTCACACCCACAGGGCCCCTTGTGCAGCCCCCGGGCTCGGCGGCTCCGTGGGCAGTGCAGCTGGCTGCCCATGGCAGAGCAGGAGCCGCTGCCGCCCAGCTGAGCCAGCTCCTGCCCGGTCTGAGCCCCGACTGAAGGAAGCCGGCTGTGCTTGCCCAGGGCAGGAGGGACCACAGGGGATCACCTGGTCCCTGCCTGCCCTGCAGACAGCTGGGACCCTGTCCCTGTGGCAGATCCTCTCCACAGCCCCTTCCTCCTGCACTGCCACCACCCATGAAGCCCCGGCCCGCACAGCTCCTCCCCTCCTGCTCAGTGTGCTGCTGCCTGAGCAGGGCCAGCGGCTGCCTCACACCAGGGCCCCCAGGCTTCCCCTCCTCAATGTGTGGTGTGCCTGGGGGCTCTGCGGGCACTGAGGGCAGGCTCCTGCTCTGCCATGGGCACCCAGGGAAGCAGCACCCCCTGCCAGCTCTCCCTGACCCACTCTCTGGGCTTTAGTGAGGGGCCCAGTGGCAGTGCCACCTGGGGTTGGGGGCCACCATCTGCCCTGCCTGCTACAGCTCTGCCTTTCACCCTGGCACCAGCAACACCTGCCCAGAGGCTCGTTGTGGGACACAAATCAGTGCTTGAGGGCCTACTGCCACCTGACTGGCCCACAGGCAGCGGCATCCCAGGACCCCAGCCAGGATGCGGGACCCCAAATGGGGCATACATGGCAGTGCCAGGCTCCAGACCACCCCGTCCTTCTGTCCCCACATAACTGGCAGCACCTCCTCCTGCCCTGCCTGGGGCTGCAGCTGCTCTGTGCCTGTGGTCCCAGGCAGCACCACCACGGTGGGGCTGAAGATGCCAGAGGTGGCCCAGCTGTCACCCCCTCTTCTGTGGCCCAGGGTCTTCGTAACCCTCTCCTCCCTGTGGCTGGGGTCACCGAGGCTCCCTCTGATCACACATGGGACAGCGGGACCTGCTTGTGGTAGGAGGCCATGCTGGGCAGCACCGTCCTGCCCACCAGCGCCGGGCTGGCCTCACCGTACACCGAGGCACCTGCAGGCTTCCTGGCCCGGCAGCAGCGGGTGCTGAAGCGCCTCCAGGACTCCAGCGTCTTGCCAGACCAGATCCAAACGCCGGAGGTGATCCCCACCACAAGGCACATGAAGTACTTGAGCATGAAGACAGCATAGTCAGGCTTGGGGCGGTGAGAGTCCCCCGGGCAGGAGCAGTTCTGTGCCTGCTCCCAGGCCTCCCGGTTGTGCTGCTCGTAGATGTAGCAGGCGATGACGATGGTGGCAGGCACGGTGTAGAGCACGGTGAAGATGCCGATGCGGATCATCAGCTTCTCCAGCTTGTCGGTTTTGGTGCCGCCCTGCTTGATCACGCTGCGGATGCGAAAGAGCGAGATGAAGCCAGCCAGCAGGAAGAGGCTGCCGGTGAAGAGATAAACCACTAGTGGTGCCAGCACAAAGCCACGCAGATTCTCCAGGCTCTGGTTGCCCACATAGCAAACCCCAGCCACCGGGTCACCGTCAACAGAGCTCAGTGCCAGTACAGCAATGGATTTGGCACTGGGGATGAGCCAGGCAGCCAGGTGGAAGTACTGTGAGTAGCTGGCAATGGCCTCGTTGCCCCACTTCATGCCAGCAGCCAGGAACCAGGTGAGGGACAGGATGACCCACCAGATGGAGCTGGCCATGCCGAAGAAGTAGAGGAGAAGGAAAACCACGGTGCAGAGAGCAGGGCCTGTGGTCTCATAATGGATGTGGTGGTGCTCCGGGTTGCAAGCCACATTGGCGTGCCCTGCCACCAGGCGCACGATGTAGCCCAGGGAAACGAAGAGGTAGCAGGCAGAGAGGAAGATGATGGGGCGCTCAGGGTACTTGAAGCGCTCCATGTCAATGAGGAAGGTGGCCACGGTGGTCGAGGTGGAGAGGAAGCAGAGGATGGACCAGAGGCCGATCCAGAAGGTAGCGAAGGTCTTCTCATCCTGGGTAAAGTAGGGCTGGTAGCAGGGGATGGCACAGTTGAGTACCTTCCCGGTCCTGATGCGGTTGTACAGCGGATGGGACTCCTTGGAGATGGGGATCAGGGGTGCTTTGCACTTGCAAGTCTGACCACAGTCCAGCCCTGAGAGGCGCTGCCCATCGAGCGGCGTCAGGTTTTTGGCCATGTCCTTGGCAGGGCGCGTGGGCTTCCCGAAGAAAGGCGGCAGGGTGGTGGCTTCCGTGTGGTTGTATCCCATGCAAAGCACCTCAGAGTCCCCCAGCACCGGCAGGTTGTCACAGCTCATCCTCTCGGGCCAGGCGAAACCGTACTGCTGCATGATGGGCGAGCAGCCGGCCTTGGCCCGCTCGCAGACGGAGCGGCAGGGGGGCAGCGGCTTCGTGTAGTCGGACAGGCAGATGGGGGTGTACATGCTGCAGAGGAAGAAGCGCAGGTCCGGGGAGCACTGGATCTCCACCAGCGGCCAGAACTGGTGCACCTCCAGCCCAGCCTCGTCCTGCGTGTCGTGGTTGAACTGGTTGGGCATGTAGGTGAGGTTGTAGCCGATGCCCTTGCACATCGGCACCGTGATCTCCTGGCACACCAGCGCCTTGGAGGCGGCGCGCCCCGCCGCCGGCAGCCCCAGCAGCAGCGGCAGCCCCAGAAGCAGCAGCGGCACCGGCAGCCCCCGGCCGCCCATCGCCGCCGCGCGTCCTACCGCCGCCGCCGCATGTCCCGGGCACCTGCCGCGTCCGCGCCGGGAGCGGGGCCCCGCCGGGAGCGAGAGCGGGATCCCGACCGCCGCCACCGCCGCCACCTGCGCTCTGGGGCGGGCGGGCGCCCCCGCTCCGCGCCGCGCCCGCGCCCCGCCCCGGGACCGCCCCCGCCGCTGGCCCCGCCCCGCCGGGGCTCCCCGCGGCCGCCCCCGCGCCGGGCACCGAGCCCCGCTGGGCGGAACGCCGCGCTGCCCCGGCCCCGCTGCTGGACGCGTCCCGCTGGCTCCGTGCGCCGGCCCGGGGGCAGGCGGCCGAGTGAGAAGAGGACGGTGCTGCCAAACCACGACTGCTCCGCATCTGTGCATCGCCTTTTCCTCTTGCCCGCCGGGCCCCTCCCGAGACCCGGCACCCTCCGCCCCGCCAGCGCCGCGACGGCCCGGCCCGGCTTCCCCGGCTCGGCGCGAAGAGCCAAGCGGCTGGAGGAGGGCAGGCGGTGCCCGCGGCGCTGCTGCCGCTTCTCCCCTTCCTCCTCGGGCCCTTCAGCCCCTCTTCGCGGGAAGGGGCCGGGGCCTCGCCCGCCGTAACGGGACTGGGACGAACGGGGGAAACCCTGGGTAGGGGAAGGGAAGACGTGAAGGGGTCCTGACCGGCTTTGCCTTGCTCCGGCCATGGCACATCAGCCCGGGTACAAGGGACACTGTGGCATCTACCGGCGCTGCCCGCGCCCAGGGCAGCGCTCCTGACTGCCGGAACGCTGAGCCTCGGCGGGAAGGAAAGCCGCCCCTGCCCGAGTGCAGGCAGCTGCGCTACCACATTCCTGCCCCGGATTCCGGTCGCCATCCGCTCCGCCAGCCCTTTTCTTCCCGCCCAGGCGGGTGGCAGGCGCTGCAGCGCAGCGCGAACCAACAACGAGACCGTGCCGGGGCAGAGGGCTCTGCCCAGCGCCCTGGCACCGCGGGCTCCTGCCAGAGCCACCGAGGTGGTCACGCTCGGTTGCCAGGAATTCCAATCCTCCAGTCCATGCATTCGTAAACACCGAAATTGCCAGCCCGATTTTCAAGCGCTTCCCCGAAAGCCCTAAAACCCACGGCATGTTCAGGGCGCACAGGGGAACAGACCTTCGGGGGTCCAGACTGCAGCTGCTATGGCAGAGCCTTATTCTGCCCAAGGCAGAAGGCCTTGCACAGGAGCTACTCACTCCACCTCAGTGGATGTGGATGGAAGGGCATTTTAGACCAGAGTACTTGCATCCAGCCCTGGATCTACGATTCCCACAGCACATCACAGATACAGACACCTTGCATTCAAGGCCTGGTGCTGGGGAACACCAGCACCCAAAACACCCCTAACTGCATCCAGAGCCACAAAGCAAATACTCAAAGCATGACTTAGCTCCTGCCTTCCTCCCAGAAGCAAAACCTGGCTTGCTTATTGCTGAGACCAGTGGCTGATGTACTCTCAGGCAGAGCACTGACTGCTGATGAGCAAAGCCATCAGTCATTTAAAGGCGAGAGACCTCACGACCACCTCTGAAATCCACATCCACCCAGACTAGGCATGCATATTACTTGGCACTGTCAACTTTGACTCTTAACTTTTTTTTTTAAAGGAATAAAATAAATCTCACATCCCTATACCTCTTTACACTGTAAGTTTTCCCTGTAATAGAGCTATACAGAAGAAAATTATAAGTCACATGTTCCTTTGGAAGACAGTGGCATATCCTTGTAGCAGGAGTCATAACTTTTAATTCTTCTCAACAATGAGTTTCTGTGAACTAGCAGCCCAGCAGAAAGCAATCACAGACAGTTTCATTATGGCTGTCAGTTGATTATCCAAATTATAGCTGAGAGAAGAGGGCAGCCTTTTTATTATCATCATTGCTGTACAATTAGAAAATGCTGATGAAGCTCCACAAAAGCAGAAATTGTCTTTTTTTGTTGGCATTTTTCATTTTTATAAGCATTCTCTTGGGCAACATCTAAGTTTGATTTGACACACAATGGGGAATGGGTACATAAGTGGGAAGGGAGAAGATAAGAAGGGGAAAATGGGGCAGCTCTTCATTTCAGTTAATCTATCAACTCTTGTAGCCTGGTTCAGGTTTTGCCACTCCTCCAGATGTATCTAATTCTTAGAGCCTGGCTGTAAATAATGCTGTATTTGCTACACTGGGGACACATAAAATCCAATTAAGAGCCAGGTAGACATCTGTTGGCTTGCTCTGTGCTTCTGTTTCCTTTTTGTTTTTTATGAATATGTAGCAGAACAACCAGAGCAGGATTAAATACGGGGTAAGTGCAAGTGCAGTTGATAGGTTTGTTACTCATCTTTTCAGTAAAGGATGAGAGTGCAGTGCATCCAGCACATAAACAAAATGTGTCTGCACAAAATTTACTGTGTTAAACCCTGCAGACAAAAACCGAAGTGTTTCCTGGCCCTATGAAAATGCTTTTGTAGTTAAAAAACTCTTAAATTATTAAAAATCACTTTACCTTTTATCCATGTGCAGAAAGGTCCATGAAGCTCCACTGTGCTAGGCAGGTCTGCTTGGCAGTACATCTAACCCCTGCTCCTGGCTCCAGCCCAGAGGATTCAGGCATGGACTGGCAATACATGTCCTCACAGTCATACCTTCCACTCACTGACAAGTTTTCAGCTGGGATGCAGTGGTTCCTGGTAGAAGCAGAAAGTACAAAGTGGATAAATATTTCTGTATTTGGTTCTTTCACTGCTGATTGTCAGCATACACTGTTTACCTGGACAAATTGCTTTTGTGAAGGATAACATGACTTTTAAAAGACTTTAGAAAAGGACTAAGTGAGTTTCCTTTGTAAAGGCTGGCTATTGCCCTTGCCCTTGTTAGAGGACTCGGCAGACTTTCGCAAAGAGCTTTTCAGCCCGGGCTTTGGGCAGGGACAAAGCCGGAGAGCACTGATCTCGCTCTTGGCTTTGCCGGCACCAAAGCAGGGCAGGAACCTCCTGCCCCTCTTGTCACAGGATCAGCACACCACCCCTTGGCCCTCGACCCTTCTTGCTTGAGGCAGCAAATGCTGGTTTTGTCTGCACTGCTGACAAGTCTCCATCTCCCAGGAAGGGAGCAGTGGGGGCCCAGCGCAGGTGACTCCCGGTGCTGGTGGCAGCCTGCCAGTCACCCCAGCTGGAGGCTGTGCTGGCTCAGGCACTGCTCAAATTAGCAGTGACCCCTGATAACAAACTGCTTGAGTGAGGAGGTGCTGGGGACCGTAAGGTGCCTTGCAGCAGCACAAGACTGTGCCTTACTGCCTGTCAGGAGTGCAGAAACAGACATCACTTCTGGCATCAGGGTGCAGCCCCCAGGCAGCACCAGCACAGCAGACCACTGTGCATTGGTACAAAAGGATATCAGTGTTTGCCCCACACTGAGGACACGGCTGCATGCTGCACCAAGGCAGGTGTGCTTCTGCTTCCACCCCTGGCAAGTGTTTGCCTTCCCACCTGAGAGCTGCAGCTCCAGGCTGCCTGTGCTGCAAACCCCAGCACCAAGGCTGACCTCGTGCAACAGCACCTGGAGCAGGGGGCTCCTAAATTAGACCAAGGTTCTTGCTGCAGTGCAGGCAGGAGGGACCTGACAGGCAGGGAGACAGAGGGACTCTTGGCCCTTTGCAAGCAGGCAGAGCAGAGTGAGAATCACTGCCAGCATTTGCAGAGGGACCCTGGCACCCAAATCCTACTCAAGTGCAACAGCAGTGGGGTGAGCATTTCTCATGTGCCCAGATGAATTAGAGGCTGTGGCTTGGGGACAGGAATTCAGATTTAAATAATTTGAATCCTTTTCACCATTCCCTTAAAAATCCTAACTTACATCAATACAATTTGGTTTTATATACACCTGTGCAATTACACACCTTAGCATATTGCAGGAGAACAAAACCACGCCAAACTGTAGCCATATCCAAAAAGTTACATGGAACTTGAAAACTTCTGAGTGAATTAATCCAAAACATAATTTATAACAGTGACACAAACTTCAGCAACACCTAACTAACACAAGTCCTGCAGTTTGAAAAATGCCACCAGAAGTTCAGGTAAGTAAGACCAAAGTAAAATCAGGGAGATTGCTGCACATAAAACTAATCTTGCCAAACTCATCACCTATTAATTAACTATACTTGTACATATAAATGCACATAAAATATATGCAATAAGCTTTCTTTGGTCTCCCCAGGCACTGGGAACCTTCCCATAAGCCACAGTTGGAATATTGAAGGGATGCTCCTATCCTGAGGTGCCACTACCACAGCATGCAGAGGCAGGATCAGGGCCCTGGCCCAGAGCTGCAGGAGGGTTGGTGGTGATGAGGATGGGCCTCTGCCATGCCACAGCCATGGCTGGTTTCAAATCCCCTTGTTGTGACTCACAACACTGAGATAAAGAGGAAGCAGTGAAGTTCCTTACATCGAATTTTCTTGGGGGGTATAGTGCAGCCTGAAACTTTTCAGATATGTCGTTTCTGAAACACAGCACATAATGCCTTTTTTTTTCTTTTCTTTTTCTCTCAAAAGAAAACAGTCCCCATAGTGAAGTTGACATGATAAATTAGTATAGCCCTGGCAAAGCCCTCACTCTTCATTTGGCAAATACTTATTTATGGACTTTCAATTTGTGGCTTATGTAACAACAGGGTGAGTGACTTTCAAAAAAAGCTCCGCCATGTATTGACCTGATACAGCCTAATGGGTCCTTCAGAGCAATTAGGATTTATTGTGTTAGCGTCTATTGTGTATAGAGGCCATTTTAAAAACATGTGTTATTTACCCAGAAAGCAGTAATGACTGTTTAAATACAGTGAGATTGTTTCTTAAACTCTTGCTGCTCTATACATTGCAAAGAAGTTACTCCAAATATTTCTCAGTTAAATACTTTGTTCCAGCGGGATTTCCAAGCTGGATTATTGTATGGCAGATATATTTGTATGCCTATAGCTGTAAGTGAACTGAGCTCCCAGGAAAGCTGCAAAATGAGCAGCCTTGAAGCATGGAATCTGAGATTTTTTTTCTCAACCAAGGGGCCAGAGCTTGCCACTCTAGTGGTCTGAGCAGCCCAGGCCTTTTCCTAACTTAGAGAGCAGAGCATTTCCCATGAATCAAACAAGTTTTGCCCTGTCTGAAAGTGACCATATGAGCCATGAAGCTGTAGTTTGCATCACAGCACATCTAACCCTCTACATGCACATGAGGTGGGGCCATCACCACTTCCCTGTAACCTTGTGGGGGCCAGCATGCAAGAACACAAGCGCTGGTTTTTGAAGACAAATGCAGCTGTGAGAAGCCAAACCCCTGGCTAGGCCCCCCAGCAGGCCTGAAGGAGCCCAGCTTTGCAGCCCAGCAAAGATCAGCTCTGGCTTAACCAGCTCTGACGGACCACAGAGTAAAACAAACCCCAGCTCATCCAGGGGAGCCATCAAGTGCCTCTATGAAACAAAAAAATATAGATTAATTACTGCTTGACTCTTCTTCTGACCAATGGTGTTTTAATCAGCACTATCTCAGTAATAGTTCTTTCCTTTTCTACCTTTTTCCTGCCCCCTCCTTTGCTGTGTGAAGCCTTCAGGGTGAAACTGCTCAAAGCAGTTCTTTGACAAAATGCTTTGCCTGCCCTGCTTCAGATCACAGCCTTTGGAGACTTATTTCTATCTGCTTGTTTTACACCAAAATTGACATATTATCTGTTACAGCTGCAGAGACAGAAGTACTAAGTCATTTTTTTATTCCAGCAAAAAGAGGGACAGGTTTTTGTCTGAAAAATTTGTGGCAAGTATTTCAGAGTTAGGATGCAAGTTTGTAATGGCCAATCCTCTGGAGAACAGTCAGGCAGCCTAGACTGAAGCTGGCTATAACTTATGATTTCTGTTTTGTGGAAAATTCCAACATTAAAAAACAATGTAAAACACACCAGTTTGTTCCAAACAGGGCAAGCTGCCCATACTTCTGAGCAATCCTGCAGCATCAGGAAAAGCTAGAAGGTTTCCTCTCAAAACATGGAGATTTCCTAGAAGCCCCCTGCCCAGGAAAGCCTTAGGAGCAAAGGATGGGGGAGGACCTGGAGTGGGGGACATGGAAATCCTGGAGAGATGGATCTTGCTGGCCAACTGGGCAGACTTCAGGCAGGAATGTGCCTGGTGAGCATTTGTCTCTTAGGTCCTGCCTGATTTTCAGAGAAAGTTGGTCAGTGAAAACAGAAACATTTCCAAGATATTTTCTGTCTCTGCCAAACTGACACTTTACAAAGAAACTGCTCTCAGCAGAAGCATCTGCAGTTATGGGTGGTCTCTCCTGGCCTTAAAATTCTATGAATTGGTACAAAACATATCATAACAACTGTTGCTGTTAAAAGCAACTTCAGTCTGTGTTCAGAATAGTTCGAGTGCAGTCTGTCTTTTCCTGAAAATAGAGAGCTTATTTAAAATAGATTTCAAACATGTAAGCCAGTTTGACTGCATTTCTTCACTAACAACTCAAGATGCTGTGATCAAGACCTTCCAGATGCAGTGATCCTGGACTCTCTTGAGGCAACCGTAAGGGATTGTTATTTCCAGAAACTGGACTCCTTTACAACATGCCATATTGCTCGCTTAAGATCAGAAGCAATCAAAAATTATGCATTTGAAAGATTTATCCTGTATGTGTACTTATGTACATTATACATTACCCTAGAAGGAGAACATTCACATACATTTTGTGTTTCTATGAACCAGAAAGCATCAAAGCCAGAGACCTCCTGAAACAATGTCTTCTATCTGACCTTTTAGGCATTCTTGCTAAGATCAAGCACTTCAGATTTTCCCTATCTGCTTTTGACATCCTTGAAGTGCTTGACACAGAGCTAGAGGAATATTAGAACTAAGATTCAGCGAGTCATGTCATTCACATCACGTGAATGAAACTATGTTGAAATACAGATTTAAATCCCTGCATAATCAACATTTATTGGACACAATAAAAAGAGCCAGAAACAGATAGGCAATTAGCACTAGCTAGAACTATAGACATTTTGATTACTTCCTTCTGCAAGTCATTCATGGCATACTATAATACACAGGTCAAGGTGATTTTGGAAAGGATGTTGCTAGCAAGTTTCTCATTCAGGTATTAGTCAGATGTGAAGGATTAGCACATGCAAGTGACCTTTACAAGCTGTAGTGGAATGGAAACGAAGCAGAGTCTGCAGCAGAAGCCAGAATGGTCTTTTTCCATCTCAAGGCTGAGTGGTTGATTTCCCAGCTCTCTGTGGCCATAAGGGCAGGGACTAATGTTAACAGAATTGAAGCAATCCAGGAAATTTGCTGGGCAAAAGAAGGAATCCATTCTCTAAATCCTGCACCTCACTGCCACATACAGCAACACTGAGCATACAATTATGTTATCCAGCTTGGGTTATGACCTGGTGATGCAAGAAAGTGCTCCAAAATATTCCACAAGTGCTAGCATAGAGTTGCCAAAAATATTGATGACAAGGTTGTATAGTCCTCTTACAAAGCTTTTATTTTACCAAACTGATAGAATCAAACTGATTTTGTAAAAGCAACAAGCTGATACAAAAGGCAGCACAATTGCTGCAAAGATGGGACTCATGTAGGTCAGCATCCTCCTTATGAAGGAAAGGCATGAAAACACTGAAGTAGCTTGGTTCAGCTT